GCACAGGACCAATGCTGAGGGACTTGTCATGAGGCTTTGCCTGACTAAATGAGTTGCATTCAGTCCTTGTTCAATCTGCTCTCTGGTTCTCCAGTGATGGTGACTACAATCATCATTGCTTTTGGCTTCCACACATGTTGCACCAATATGAATGTGTTGAGCTTCCTGACACTGTTCTAACTTCAAACTTTGGAGTTGGAACTCAGACGAGAGGGAGCGACTCGTTGCAATACATTACTAGTACTTTATTACTTTGTAAAAGAAAGGAGATGTTTTCTGTTACACACACACACACACACACACACACACACACACACACACACACACACACACACACACACACACACATGCAGACACATGCACTGCGGAGTTGTTCATAGTGAACATTACAACACATGCATTCACACACTTCCACACACACAGTGACACGTCTTCCCTTCTGAATATCAGCCTATGGCACTGCAACGAAGCAGCAGGCCTGCGCTGGAAACAAATAGCTCAATGGTGATTAATAGGGGAAATCTGGTGGTTCTATYCTAACATCAATGCAAGGCATACTTCAGGTTATTTTGCAACTCTTTCCCCCCCAAAAAAAGTTGAAAACCCACCGCTATGCTGCGACTCACCGTTGGTTTTCAGATCACCTTCGAAGCCAAGTCCATCGAGACGGAAAATCAATGATCAGCAACTTAAACCAGAATGCGGTGAACTATTCTCAATCCCCTTCCATCTTGTCAGTCATTCCCTCACACTCATTGCCAATGCACTCCATCTTCTGCATTGACCGCTTGCCTGGTTTTGACATCCTCCTCTCCCTCTTTTGACTTCGGGTGATACCCATATATATCGCACCGACGATGCTAATACAATGCCAATAACACCAACAAGAACAAGAAGACAAACACGGCCGAGAACAAAGGACATTAGGAAAACATATTTTATCTCAAAGAAATTTGAAAGGCAACAATGCAATTGCAAATTACACTTCCAGTAAAATATTTTGCTATAGTTTTTTTTTTTTTTTTTTTAACATTTTTTTTTTTTTTTTTAAAGGCTAATTCTTTAAGCCCAACCAATTCATTATAGTCTATACAATGTCAGCGAAACGAAAAAGATCAATAACACAGATAAGAAGAAAGGAAATTAGGAAAGTCTATTTTGTCCCAAATTGACAACGAAAGTATACAATTTCAAATTTTAAACTTTAAAGCTAGGCTACCAGTCGGGCAGCCCGGCCGTGCAAGGACCAAAGAGGGTCCCAGCAAAAAAAAAAAAAAAAAAAATTAAAAAAATGCAGAAAAATAAACTGAACAACTTTTGCCTCAGGGTCACATCGAAATTCTTCACCAAATTTCTAGGAAAATAAAACTTAAAAATTCATTATTTATTTGTTTATTTTATTTTATTTTTGGACCGGCCAGGCAAGTGATCCCGGGCCGCTCTGGTAGCCTAGCTTGAAACTTGAAAGTTGAAAGTATAAAACTATTAACATATTAATTACTATTAATAAATAATAATAATTACTATTAATAAATAATAATATTATTTAATAAGTTCATAATACTTAGTATTTAATTTTTAAATATTATGCTATATGATGCCAGGTTGCTAACAATCTCAACAACAACATGGCCATAGACATGTAATGACCTGCCAAACACGGACTGAGACACACAGCTGATTTCTGAGTTTTGCTCATGGAATTTATGCCTTACTGAGTTTCCCGCTTGTTGCTGAGTTTTCTAAGTCTGTGTGGGTGCGTGCTTGCTGGTCTGCATGCCTGTCTGAGTGCTTGTCGGCCTGAGTGTGTGTGCGACCCGCAAGGGCACTTCTTTCTTCGCGAAGGGCCGAAGGGCCGGTACTTACCTGTGGCCGTGACATTGAGGGAAAGAGGCCCGCGACACTTAGAGCAGTGGAGAACACTAAAGTAGCAGGGAGGCCGGTACCACACCAAGTAGAGGTAGATGTGCCGGGTACTCGAGGCCGAGCAGAAGAAGACAAAAGCTGGCATTTTTAGAGGCCCAGTAGTTGTAGGCTAGGTCTAGGCGGGTACCAGTAATATCAGAGTCTGCAAAGATGTTTCCCTCCGAAAGGGGGGAGGTACTGGTTGCTTGGGGGCTGCGCGGCCTAGGAAGTCACTCGCCAAGAGGCAAGCAGGCCGCTATATCTCCAGGAGGAGCAAAGTGCTCCTCATTGTCGGTGTGCAAGTTTGGCGACACACTGGTTGCAGTGCTGGCTCGAGCTGCGCTGCTGGGGAAGGAGCAAGAACAGGAGGAGGAAGAAGACCAGGACTAGGAAGGGGGAGCGCCAGAGGTACTTACCTGGCTATGGTGGTTGCCATCTTCATCACCTTGTTGGGCGCAGCAGCAGGAAGGCCCCAGTTGGGCTAGAGCTACACCAAAAAGCGTCGAGGCAGAGTCAGGCATGGCGGCCTGAGCTAGAGCAGCCATAGCTGCTTTGTGTTGTCCTTTGCACAGCAGGGCGATGTTGCTACTTTGTTCTTCAGCACCGGCGGGGAATCCGGCATTGCACTTTGGTGTTGGAGTCAGACCCTCCTACATGATAGGACACTAGTGTGGAGGTAGCAAATAGGTTTAGGAGGACCATATGAGGAAGGGGGTGAGTTATACTTCATCTCAGAGTCCCGGCCACTCAGGTAAGTGTCGTGCACCTAAGGGTTGTCCATGTGTGCGTGCATGGTATTGTTTGTCCTGTTGGGGTACTTCTGGGTCTCTTTCCTACTCCTCTGAAGTCTTGATTGTGTGCATTGATGTGCAAACTGCTTACTGACCTGATGGATGGAGAGATGAAGTATCGTGCTTTGAATGCCATATCTTTCTACAATGCTTTGTCTTTTCATTCTGAATGGATGTAGTCTGTAGGTTCTCTCTTAAAGTTGAAATTCGTTTATCTATCGTTTATCAGTACAGTAGAGCCAGAAAGCAGGACCTTCTGGTACTCTTCTTGCTTCGGACTTAAACGACCTACACTGGACCTATTGGGACTCAGTGGGACCAGGCCCAAACAAGAAGGGCCCCTTGGACTCAAATCTGTTGATGCATTGTCGCTTTCTTTACTGTCTGGAATTCGTTGCTTTTCTTTTTTATTAGAGCACTCGCTGCCGAGGGGATCTCGACTGAGATGTTTGCGGAGTGATGACGCACAATCCAATGCTTGACCTGCACTGTTCTGCACCTTATACACCACTCAATTCTCCATTACTGTATGTCGTTACTTGTAGTCTGATTTGTTGTACTTTGACGGTGCCGATCAGATTAGGCTCTAGGGGATCTCGTACTTGGTCTGACGGACTAAAACGCGGAGTCAGAACTCTCTTATGAATTATCTTTATTTTATTTTTTTGTTGGTCGCTCTCTAGTCCAAATATTTTGCCACCCCGACTAGGAGTTCTACCTTCTCTTTTTTGCTTTTCAATTTGTTTCTTTTACTAAAGTCCATTTTATGCCCGTCACGACGCGTGGACAAGAGAGAAAGAGAGAGGTCATGGCAATTGAAGGATCTAGTAGTTCCAACATGGCACCGACCAAACTTTCTGAGATTCTAAAGGCACAAGTGGATGCAGCGGATGACGAGGATAAACCATTGTACCCGGCCCTCTACCAAAAGGAAATGGTCAAGAAAGAGAAGGAGGAAGAGTCTACGAGGAAAGCAGCCGCTGAAGATCTTGAGACCATCTTCAAAACAGTCTCAACCATGTTTGATGTAGATGTCAAGAAAGATCAGGTCAAGTACGTACGTGCCCTCATAGATTGCCATTTGCTCAGCGAGCTTCCGAGTATAAAGTCCCAACTACGCACCGAAATGAGTCGGCTGAGTACCCAGAGGGCAGATATGGCCAAGGAGCATCGCAAACAGATACAACAAATGACAATCGTGCATCAGACCCAAATCTCAAGCTCTCTTCCCCTACCTCTTGTTGCTAACCGTTCTACCTTTGCACCTCTCCATACTTCTTCCTCGTTTTATTCTTCTTCGTTGAGTTTAGCAGCAAGTCTTTCAGGACCTGCAACAGGTGCAGATTTCGCTACCACTACAAGTGACAACGCAAGAAATTATGCAACTGCCACAACCCTGAGATAGGACCCAGCAATGGCTGGTCCCAGCTATAGCAGTCCATACATGGACAGAGAGATGGTGATGATACCGTCCATATACGATGGCAAGGAAAATGTTGAGTCTTGGATCAGCTCCATGAAAGCTTACTGTGAGGTACATGGCACTTAAAGAGTGAAGCAGTCCTTGATCCTAAGGACGGATGTCGAGGTTGTCGTAAGGGGCTTCCTAGACGTCCAAGCTATGCAAGATGGGTGTCCAAATATCGATATAATGGAGTGGGTTAAAGTCACCCCGGCTGCTGCTCTCGAAGAGATACTAATTGCGCAAGACAAGGACCCCTGCAGCCAGAGTAAGGATCCAACTCAACGATCTTAAGCGCAACAAGTGGCAGGGCATGATGCACAAATTGCAGTTGCATGTTAGCAAACTTTTTGCGACACCAAGATTGGAAATGACAGCGCAATCAAGCTTGGATGTTGTTAAAGGTACGGTTCCAACCACTTTCGCAAATCACCTTGGCAAGGATTTCGTTGGTTATACCGGTTTTCCTTGCTGAAGGATGTAGTCAGTCTCGAGGCAGGAAACCTTACCACAACAAGAAGCAAACAGACCTTTGTTCGCGGATGGTTTCATGGCAGCAACCGTCTTGCTGCGTTTGACTTGTTGGAGGTGGAAGAGGAGGCCGAAGCAGATGACCCCACTCTTGGCGACGACTAAGAATAGGACGGTGATACAACTTGCTCTTCAACCCAAGAATCCGGGATCAATAACGAAGAGGAAATTTTTGGTGCCTTCAAAAAAATTGCCCATGGTAAGGGAAACAAAAACCGAAACTAGATAAGGAACTTCGTCACACTCCCTAAGGGAGCCAAAATCCCAGCCAATCCTGAGGACGCAAGTACTAAACCTCGGGTTGACCTCTGGATTAGTGAGGCTGAATGGAGGGCTAGACTAAAGAAAGGAGGTTGCTTGCATTGCCAAAAAACTAATCATAAGGTCCAAGGATGCTTTAGGCTTCAGGGAAACCTAAATCGGGTGTAGAGGGTTCATCAACACACTCTACGTAAAGGGAGTCCGAACCGGTCAGTGATAGTTCTCCCAAGAAACATGTCACAACCCAACAGTCTTCCCTTGAAGCCCCAACTTCTGCTGATTCCAAGACTAATGCTTGTCATGTTTTGTATTTTGAGCCTTGGGAGGAGTCAGAGAAGGTAAACTTTCACTATCACCTAAAGCATTGGGTTGAGAGGAAACAACAACGAGCTCAAGGGACAATGAAGTTAATCTTCTTCAAACTTCTCATTAACCACCACTATCTTTGTGTCTTGATTGATTGTGGTGCCACAAGGCCCACAACTAACTTTATGTCACCTCATGAGATTCACAAAGTGGGCTTGGGGATGAAGCAAGTGACTTTGCAGAGCCCTTGCCGGACTCAAGTAGGCAACAAAGAGGTTGTCTCATCCACACATGCACACAAAGGTGTGCGCACTACCTTTGACAAAGATAAGACTATCACACACGCATAAAACTTCTATGTCCTTGACAAGTGTCCCTTCGACGCAGTCCTCGGGTTGGGCTGGTTGCAGTCTCAATGTGAATGGACCAAGTGGAAGGAACTGCTTTTGATGGTCAAAGATGCACAAGGGAACGAGCGTCCCGTCCTCTTGGATGGGAAGCTCGAATCCTCGGTGACTTTTCTTAATGCCATGCAAAATGCAAGGAGTGGCGCAGGCATAATGAGGATGAACAGTTGTATGTTGCCTTTGTTCGTCCTACTCATGTACCTTCTATTTTTTCGACCGATAATAATTATACTTTGCATGATAAGTCTGCATTTATCCCTACACCTACT